ACTGAATGGTGATTTGTTGCTAGTGGTACCGCATGGTCTCTAGAGGTGTGGTGTTTGCTTGGAACTGTTGAAACCTCGGTTGAAACCTCATTGAAACTGACCTTCGTCATTCGCTATCGGACTCTAGTGAAAGTATTATACATCGTTTAATGGACTGGATGTGGATTGCGATGATTGCGGCTGAACCAGTGACGCTTTGCGACTCGCTAACTGTTTCGTACGAATGCTGGGTGTATAGATTCAGTTAAACTAACAATCAGGAATTAACAATTAACATCTTTGGAAGAAGTCCATAGTAACTCAAAGTGGAGTGGAGTGGATATTTCATAGATGAAAAAACCCTAAGTCATCTCCACAACATTTATTTCACGTGGGCCCTTATGAAATTAATAACCTGACCCTTTTGATAAATGAATAAAAATTTCAATGTTTTTATAAAAAACAAATAATTTTATTATACCTAGTAAGTTTTCAATTCATTCTCTCTTATATCATCTAAACCATTGCTTTCCAGATCATAGTGCATACGTCTTTGTCTTGTGCCATTTTATTGTCTAATTTATCAAAAGTTCAACTTTTTCATTTTTATGTAAGTAAGTATCTATTGTGTCTATACAGGGTGGTCCGTTCTTTAATACGGAAAATTTAAAGCATATAGTACTCGTTGAAATAATAAATAAACTTCCTATTAACATATACTTTTAAACGCTTCGTTTTCGAGATATAGGGTGTTCAAGTTTCTTCAAAAAATCGATTATTTATTGATTTCTCAGAAATGCTATAGCCGATTGTGATGAAATTCACAACTATTGTGGAAATATCAATGAGCTAAATTTTAGACCTATTACAGTTCATGAATGAGTTACATATTTTCAGGGGCGAGCATTTCAAAATACAATTTTTTTGCCCTCTTAGATTTCTTATCGGATAGCTTCGTTTCAGTAGAAAAAACAAAAACAAACCTATGCATGTCTCTAAACCCAATGAAAGAAAAATTGTAATGCATTAAATCTAGTTAGCATTGGCCGTTTACCAAACCAATCATGTAACCATTGCAAATCAATCATTTACGTATCAGAAAGAGCCACAACAGGCCATAGACCACAGTGGATATCCTGTTTTCAATGTTGCCGAGCTAATACATATTTACTAGTTAGTTTTTGAGATAATATAAAGTGTCAAAAATACGCTTCAGAATAAATATAGTTTTTTAATCAAATGTTAGAAACGGTTCAAGATAAATTAACGAAATTTTTCACAGATTCTAAACCTTTTGAGCTTTATTAGATTAAATAAAAATTCATGAAGAATATTCAGTGGCGGCTGATTCTGGGGGGGGTGACGAAGGAAAAAGTTATGGTTCAGCAATCAAACTTTTAAAGAATAAAATTAGGTAAATATAATTAGAAAACAAAGGAATCCATTAGAGGAAATGCTCAAATTGCTCTCCGCCAACCTCTGTGCATTCTCTGTCTGTCTCATCATAGAACTAACTGCACTAGAAATTTGTATTGGGTTCAATTTCATTCGATTGAAAGCTTCATCAATTCTTTCAACTAATTGTTCACTTGAAGGAATTGGTACTCCATAAACCTTATCTTTAATTGCTCCCCAGATATGAAAATCCAAAGGATTAAGGTCTGGTGACCTAGGTGGCCAAGCAACTGGCCCTGAACGACCAATCCAACGATCTGGATAATTTAAATTTGAATGAAAAATAATTACCCGAAAATGTTGTGTAATTATTACCTTTGCCACCCCAGATTCAGCCGCCACGGAATAGTTTTTATGAATAATTTTTATTTAATCTAATAAAGCTCAAAAAGTTGAGTATCTGTGGAAAATTTCGTTAATTTATCTACCGTTTCTAACTTTTGAAAAAAATATATATTCAGAAGCGTATTTTTGACACCCAATATCTCAAAAAAGAAGCGTTTGAAAGTATATGATTATAGGAAGTTTTTTTATTATTTCAACGAGTACCATACGCTGTTGAATTTTCCGTATTAAAAAACGAACCACCCTGTACTAATTCTTGTATTCGGCTGATGATGGGCTTATACAGGGTGTTCCTTAAAGACGTGCTAATATACAAGGGAGTAATTGTTTGACTCATTTTAAGATGAAGACTTTCTATGAACGTATGTCTCAAGAGTCTCTACTTTCGAGATACAGGGCGGTAAAGTTTTGGAAAAATAACAGTTTTTCAATAATAACTGAGATAATATTGTAGACATTTTTACCAAATTTGGTAGATGTCTTCTATGCATCAAGGTGCATTTTCTAATACACACAAATTTTCATTTCCTCTACCAGTGGCGCCGTTTGGTGGATGTTATTGTTTATGTTTCACTTAAAAGTGAGCAACGAAGGAAAATTTCCAAATTTCATACAATCCTATGAATGGCCATTCAATTCTGTACAAAAAAGATCGTCCTGTTGATACTCGATAGAACACTCCGTTTTCGAGAAAAAAACGGAAAAACGAGGCCAGACTTCAAATTTCGATGTGAATGCTCAGCTGAGTACTCCATTCACGATATCAATTACTGATTTTTTTAACGCTTGGAGCGCACGAAAGGAAATCCCTATAATGTTCAAAGAACATCGTGCGTTCCTAGGGAGGATAGGGACAGGAGGTAGGTATTGGAATTTTTTTTTTAACTTTTGGAGATTATATGTTGTTGGGAATACTTCCACAGGCAATGAATTCCAGAGCCTAGCAGTTCTATGGATGAAGGAGTTCTGATAAAGTGCTGTTCGACATCTTTCGAGGTTGACAACGAAAGGATGTGCTGACTGGGCTTGTCTAGTTCGTCTGATTGGTATTGCTAGTGAAGGGATGATAGCAGAGATTTCCGAAGAACATTTCCCGTGGAAGTATCGATAGAATAATGTTGAAACCACATTTGCTGTCGAACGTTTAGTGGAACATTTTCAAGAAGTTCTTGAAGAAAAGTGAAAGGTCGCCGACCTTTCTACGATGTTCCAATGATGTCAAAGAGTGAGTGAGTGTGGCGTCACCCACCAATTGTGGGACTAGTTAATAGGAAAGAGTGTCGATTATTATTAGTGACTATATTACTGGAGAACTACAAATAAACTGAATGATGATGAGTAATAACAAACTAAAAAGGTAGTAAACGTCTTTGAGCCCGTCGTTCGTCTTAATCGTCTTTGCTCTACCACCGTCGTAATAAAAGTCAGTCTCGCCCCAGGAGGTATCCACACGAAATGATTATAGGCGTTATTTACCGGCGTTTCTTGGAGGGAGTTCTTCAAGAACTTCTTGAAAATGTTCCACTAAACGTTCGACAGCAAATGTGGTTTCAACATTATTCTAATCCGCATTCGCTTGCCGGTCGTGGGTTCGATTTCCATCGACTGCAGAAATTTTTCTGATGGCCCAACCCAGCGAGCACAAAAACATCTCAGAGATGATAAAAGTACGAGATTTCGAGACATTGAACCTCCACTGCGATGTTCTGTCCACACATGAATAGAACTATTATAGAACAGCCAATGTTCGCCGCAGGCGGCAATTATCGAGATGTCCTTGATATGTCACAAAACTACCTACTCCCTAGTTCTTTTTAAAGCCTTTTCATGGACACAACAAAACATTTTCAACGCGTCTTGCGCATGTCAAATCGCTGTAAAAAACCATTATCGCGGTACTTTTCTGAAGCCTTTTGTCAAAATGAACTTTTGCATTAGGATTCCATTTTCCTTGAATGAAAATTAAAATGCATTAAAAATAGATTGAACATAAAAATATTTTCTTGATATGAAATTACCTTCTCAATCGATTTCTGAGTAGTGCTTACTACACACAGACATATAATTGGAAATAGGTTTCCCAATTTTTGAAATGTTCTTCACAATGCATTATTTTGCAACTGCGGAGAAGCTGTGTATTGATAAATTCGTACTTTTATATATTGATTACACTGAGGCACCGAACAACACATCTTGCATCTGATGGTCATTATTACAAACTAAATAAGTCTTCTAACACAATAAACTCCACCAAATTCCTTTCTGTTCGTTAGCAGCGTGATGTAAGCGTGACACGCTGCAAACGCGAATGCCAATTGCGAACAAGAAGAAAAAAATCGAAAACAAATCAGAATTCATCGTATTGTGACGTAAGCATAAGACGTTGTAGTGGGGCAAACAAAGAAAGGGCACAAAAGAACAAAAACAATACTTTCAATATCCATCTAAGACCTCTTTGGAAAGTGCATATTACGCCTCAAAAAAACATCCTCATGCCTATATTTCTAAAACATCCCAAAACATCACAGGGATACCTCTCAGTAGGCAAACAAAGAAATGCCACAGAAGAACAAAAACAATACTTCAATATCCTTCATCCTTCATGCCAACATTTTCAAAACATCCCAAAACATCCCAGGGATGTTTGTGCTCGCTGGGAAGAAAGTGTTTGGGATCACACGTTGAAAGGTAAGGCCCCCGTCATTCCTTGCTCGCACAAGACTCTCGAAGATTTCTGAGGGTTGCTCGTAAGGGGGCAACCGAATGACGGATAGAACAATTTTAGAACAATTTTTTAATTTTAGCATGACGGAGCGCCTGCTCACTTTGCTGTACAAGTACGTGAGGATTTGGCTCAGCGGTTTGTGCACCGTAGGATTGCCAGAGGTGGAGCAGTTTCTTGGCCTCCTAGGTCACCCGATTTAACGCCGCTAGATTTTTTTCCTGTGGGGACATGTGAAGTCTTTGGTCTACGAAACTCCAGTAGAAACAGAGCAAGACTCGATTGGACGAATTATAGCAGCACTTGAAATCATTCAAAACGAGAATCAAATTTTTAGTCAAGTCCGTCGAAATCATGTGCTACGTTTAAATCGGTGTATTCAGATTGAAGGAAGACATTTTGAACAATGGTTCTGATAATATCATGTACAGAAGGCAAAAATTAAATGCACTAATTCTTATTTTTATAATAACCCCCAGAAGTTTGATCCCATAGTTCTGTAACACCCTGTTTATTAAAGGTACTTAAATAGATAAATAGATATATATTCAAAAAAATTTCAAGTTCTTATATCATATAAAAATATACATACAATATCATTATTAATAACTTATCGAATGTTTTTGATGCTTTTCACACTTTCCACGCTATCAGTACTATCTGAGTACGATTCGCTCGAGCCAGTCTCTGATCCAGAATCATCATTCGAAGGAGCTCTGATGATTCCTGAGCTCGTTTCTGGGCTGTTTTCCAATGACATTTCCTCGACTTTTACTGATCCGACCATTTTCGCAGAAATAAGTTCAGCTGACGATTCATTCAAAGGACCTTTGATAATTTGTGAGTTCTTTTCTGTGCTGTTTTCCGAAGAAATCTCTCCGATTTCCAATTCGCCAGCCTTCGTAGAAAGTTCATCAGAAGTTTCCCCATTGCTGTTTTCTTGGTGTTTTTCAACATAACCAAACTGGTTCCCAACTGACACAACTATTGGCTCTTCATATTCAATCTCATCAGAATCATCATTCAAAGTAATTTTGATAACTTTTGAGATTATTTCTGTGCTGTTTTCCGATGGAATTTTCTCGATTTCCAAGTCGCCAGTCTCCTTAGAAATGAGTTCATCAGAAGTTTCCTCACTGAACTTTTCTTGGTGTTCTTTAACATATCCAAAAGCCCCAACTGACACAACTATTGGCTCTTCATATCGAACCTCATCAGAATCATTATTCGAAGGACCTTTGTTGATTTCTGAGATCATTTCTGTGCTGTTTTCTGATGAAATTTCCTCGATTTTCAAGTCGCCAGTCTCCTTAGAAATGAGTTCATCAGAAGTTTCCTCACTGAACTTTTCTTGGTGTCCTTCAACATATCCAAAAGCCCCAACTGACACAACTATTGGCTCTTCATATCGAACCTCATCAGAATCATTTTCCGAAGGACCTTTGTTGATTTCTGAGATTATTTCTGTGCTGTTTTCTGATGAAATTTCCTCGATTTCCAAGTCGCCAGTCTTCTTAGAAATTAGTTCATCAGGAGTTTTCCCACTGAACTTTTCTTGGTTTCCTTCAACATATCCAAAAGCCCCAACTGACACAACTATTGGCTCTCCATATCGAACCTCATCAGAATCATTATTCGAAGGACCTTTGATGATTTCTGTGCTTGTGTCTGTGCTGTGTTCTAGTGCAATTTCTTGGATTCTCAATTCGCCAGTCTTCGTAGAATGTTCATCAGACGAATCGTCATCCAGATCGGAATCACTAACGTTACTTGATTCCGAATCAGCAGGTTCTTCTTCTGGAGTTGTTCGTACGATTCTTATACCCCGACTGTTTTGCGGAGTTCTGACAGGTTCTCTTCTAGCGTTGTAAGGAATTATGACACGGAATTTGAATTTGGTATGTTCAGTCCTCAATATTCCACCTAGTCCTTCAGACTGTCTTTCCTTGTCGAATAAATTCCTCAACTTCGATACAGACACCGGCTCGTTTGGACTTTCTACCGAAGGTTGCCTGGTAGTAGTCAATCTGCTCTCTGTTTTGATCGGACTATCAACCATATCAGGCTTTCGAAGTGATAAAGAAAAATCACTTTTGAACGTTCTTTGTTTGACTATCACGTCCTTGGTTCTTGGTTCAAAATGTTCTCTCAACTTTGTGATAGAAACAACCTCTTCTTGTACAGAAGTACCAGTCTCTGCTGCATCTTCATTCGTTATTGACATTCGTTTGTTCTTAGCATCATCAGTCACTCTTGGTTCATAATGTTGTCTCAGCTTCGAAATAGAGATAACTTCTTCTTCATTGTTCACACTTGCTCTTGGTTCTTCAGAAGCTTTGTTATCATCTCCTCTTGTTGTTTTACCAAGTCTGTATCGATCATAAGTGATATATTTGTGTTCATCTGATGATGATGTCGAGTTGTTTGAAGGTAATTTTTTGTTCAAAAGAGCAACGAATCTTTGCGTGTTAGTTATCAAATATCTCTTCTTTTCTTCATCACTCTTGACACTCACAATGCTGGTCAAGATATTGAAAACTTCATTTTGCAGAGTCACGTGTTGTTCCTTCTTGTAAGATTCGTATTGACTGAGTTTTTTATCGAATTGCTTCAAAGCTTCTTCGATGTCTTCGAATGTATTCGATTGGTTTAGTCTTACTACAACATTTTTGGATAAGAGGTCACCTAAGGATCTTGCTCTTGGTCTTGGGTAGTCGGAAGTTGATGATTTTTTATTTTCGAAAGCTGCTATCAGGTCTTTCACCTTCACGGATGATAGAAGACTATTTTCCTCTGTCATTTTCCTGAAATCATGAAAATATCATGAAGAATAAATGATAATGAAGATGTTTGATATTCTTGTTGATCTCAAATGGTTGTGAAAATAAACTAATTTGATAACTTCCAAACTTACCTCTTGAAGAGATCAGGGTTGTTATGATTGAACCAGATTTGCTGATTTTGTTTTCAACTACTACTAAAACAACTTGAAGTATATAGAGGACTGTAATGGAACCTCCGTTGGCCGTTATCAATTCAGATAATTCGAATGCCTACCTGATAAAGATAAAATATGATTACTTATCATCTTGATCTTATGATCTCATACTGTTAACAATAATAAACAATTTGTGGAGAATTGATCTTGTATGCCTAATTGATTTCATATTATAGATAAGAATTCTCACCTATATTCCTATCGATATTCATGATTCGTGGTATTATTTATCATTTATTGCTCTGCGAAAACAATCAGCCACTAAAAGCTGGTCGGAATTCTCAAAGTTTTCGGATTCAGATAATAATATTTATCTTCCGAAAACAGGTCACTTTTTCGATATCGATCAAGATTGTAGGTACCATTTTTTGTTCAAGGTTTGAGTTGTCTGAAAATATAATTTCTGTGCTTTCATCATACAAAAATATCTAATAGAAACAACTATATTCCTGGATAATATCAAAGAATATATATGTTTTTTATCGGAAGCACCCCTTATATATATCTGCAGTATATTCCATGTTTATCCCATCTTCATCTTCCCGTATACGTATACTTCAAATATCATCATGATTATCATTATTAGTCATAGATGAATAGTTCTCTCGGGAATTGATAGGATCGAAAGGAAAGGAAATAATTAGTCATTCGGGGCGAGGTGGTGAAACTTGTTAGTCTTGTGTTAGATTTCATAGCGGACGGTCTCGTTTTAGTTTCAAGCAAGAATCTAGTCCTAGTGCCTAGTGCATATCGCGAAATAGTATACATGGTTTTTCACTACATTAGCTTTATTTAGACGTTTCTGGCAAACCAAGCAACAGATGAATCTGAAAATTTGATGGTATGTATAAATTTACATGATATACACGTCTAAACTATTTTGAACGAAGCGGCGTTGCCACTCCTACTAGAAAGTAGCAGCAACTATGACTTTTCAAATGGAATACCCTGTATTTCATTCCATTTTAAGATTTTCCCTGAAGAACAATGCAATGAATAACAGGGTGTTCCATTTGAGAAAATCAAACTTGCTGCTACTTTCTAGTAGAAGCGGCAACGCCGCATCGTTTGAAATATTTCAAACGTGTAGATCATGTCAAGTTATCCAAATCGTCAAACTTTCAGATTCATCTGTTGCTTGGTTTGCGAGAACCGTCTAATTAACGCTCATCGTGAATCACCCTGTATTATTTAACGAGCACGAAATGGTAGTCATTTTGATCAGAAATAAGCATGCGAGTTATACACTATATTTTTTCTACGGCTGTCACAGATAACAGCGGAATTTTTGATTTCTTCGCTTGAAATGTTACATTTCATGAGAGATGAGATCTTGTGAAATAATAGCAATTTTTATACAGCCGTAAAAAAATAACTGCTTTAATTCTACAACTGTGTTTATTAAAAAGAGTGATAATACTGTGCCTTTCAAAAACATCGTTCGGTATAGTGATTTCATCGCGTTATTCTGTGTTGTGTCGGTGTTTTGTGAAGTGTTTTGAGAATTCATATGTGGACTATATGCAAATTTCATAATGGTGAGTTTTTTAATCTTTCTTAACACTTGATAGGCACGCGAGAAAATAAATCGATTTCTTACTCCAAGGAACAAACATGAATATAGCATAGCAAACCATAATGAAAATTTTAGTCTTCTCACAAGACCGAATAAGTACGCATTATACAATGCTTTCGTGAAGTTCTGAATGAATTCATTTTTAGCCCAATTATACATTCCTGAAGAATCTTTCGGTGTAATTTCATGCTCCTTCCCCCTGGGGAGGAAAAAATTTCTGGAAATTTGTTTAGTTACTATGGTAACCGGGATGGTAACGATACGGAATACACGGACTTTTTTAATTGATCGAAAATGTGATTTGTGGAATTTTCAATGATGATTCAGAGATATAAGTTGAGACAAAAAGAAACTAGATTTCATCAGAAATTAGAAAGTTGATCAAAAGTTCGCAATATTTAAGTTGAGATGATCGTCTCAAATTACCCTGTATACCAGAGTAGTGTATTCCATGTTCATCACATCTCCCCGTATACCAACTTGAAATATTATCATGATTATAATTATTAGTCATAGATGAATACTTGTTCGGGAATTGATAGGATAGAAAGGTGACGCAACTAATTTGTCATTCGGGACCAGGTGGTGAATCGTGTCAGTCTTGTGTTAGATGTCATCGTGTACGGACGGTCTGCTTAAAGTGCTCGTATCAGTTTCAAGTAAGAATCTAGTGCATATCGCGAAATAGCATACAGGGTTTTTCACGATGAACGTTAATTATAAGTTTCTGAGAAACCATGTAAGAAACTGATGAAACTGAAAATCTCATAGTATGTATAAATTGACATAACCTATATGTCTGAAATATTCCAAACAATGCGGCGTTGCCGCTTCTACTAGAAAGTAGCAACAACTATGATTGTTCAAATGAAACAGGCCGAAACACGCTGTATTTCATTGCATTTTCAAATTCTCCCTGTAGTGCTGATTTCACGAGTGATTTCCTCAATGCTCATCTATTGACTAGATCTGTCATTGCCTGAAATGTGACATATCACAGGAGATGAGATTTTGTGAAATGATAGCAATTTTGTGTTTTATAGCCGTAGAAAAAGAACTGTTTTAATACCACAACTGTGTTTATTGAAGAGAGTGATAATACTGTGTCTTTCAAATACATCGTTCGGTATAGTGATTACATCGCATTATTCTGTGTTGTGTCGGTGTTTTGTGGAGTGTTTTGAGAATTCATACGTGGACTACATGCAGATTTCATACTGGTGAGTTTTTTAATCTTTCCTAACATGTGATAGGCACTTTGCGAGAAAATAAATCGATTTCTTACTCCAAGGAACAAAAATGAATCTATAGCAATTCATAGTGAGAATTAGTCTTCTCATAAGACCAAATAAGAACACAATACACAATGCTTTCGTGAAGTGCTGAATGAATTCATTTTCAGCCCAACTATACATTCCTGAGAAATATTCCAGTGTAATTTCATGCTCCTTCCCCCTTAGGAGTAAAAAATTTCTGGAAATTTGTTTAGTTACTATGGTAACCGAGATGGTAACGATAGGTAACGATACGGAATACAGACTTTTTCAATTGATCGAAAATGTGATTTGTGAAATTTTCAATGATAATTCAGAGATATAAGTTTGGACAAAAAATTTAGATTTCATCAGAACTTTGAAAGTTGTTCAAAAGTTCGCAATATTTAAGTTGGGATGATCGTCTCAAATTACCCTGTATTCCAGAGTAGTGTATTCCATGTTCATCCCATCTCCCTGTATACTCCAAATATCATCATAATTATCATTATTAATCATAGATGAAGACTTGTTCGGGAATTGATAGGATAGAAAGGTGACGCAACTAATTTGTCATTCGGGACCAGGTGGTGAATCGTGTCAGTCTTGTGTTAGATGTCATCGTGTACGGTCGGTCTACTTAAAGTGCTCGTATCAGTTTCAAGTTAGAATCTAGTGCATATCGCGAAATAGTATACAGGGTTTTTCACGATGAACGTTAATTAGAAGTTTCTGAGAAACCATGTAAGAAACTGAACGAATCTGAAAATCTTATGGTATCAGTTTCAAGCAAGAATCTAGTGCATATCGCGAAATAGTATACAGGGATTTTCACGATGACCGTTAATTAGACATTTCTAACAAACCAAGCAACATATGAATCTTAAAATTTGTTGTTATGTATAAATTGACATGATCTACACGACTATAACATTTTTTAAACGATGCGACGTTGCAACTTTTACTAGAAAGTTGCAACAACTATGACTTTTCAAATGGAATACCCTGTATTTCATTGCAATTTTAGACTCTCCCTGGATTTCATTGATGTATCACACATGCGGGCTAGTGGGAATGATTACAGAAATATAGGGTGTTCAAAATCGAGATTTTACAATTTTAGGATTATTTTGTATCGAAACTATTCATTATCGGTCAAAACGGCTTTCATGTCCCAATCTCAACCTTTGATTTACTATCTACTGACATTCAATTGGAACAGATACAGGATGATCAGAATTCAGAATCTTGAACCACCCTGTAATTGTTTCAATTGAATGTCAGTAGATAGATAATCAAAAGTAAAGATAGAGACATGAAAGCCGTTTTGAACATTCTATATCTCTGTAATCGTCCCCGCAAGACCCCAAGTGTGATACATTGATAAAATCAGCTTTTCAGGGAAATTATAAAAATGCATGAATTCCATTTGAAAAATCAAAGTTGGTGCTACTTTCTAGTAGAGCGGCAACGCCGCATCATGTGAAATATTTCAGGCGTGTAGAACATGTCAATTTATACTAACCATCAAATTTTCCGATCATCTGTTACCCTGTATTGCTTAACGAGCACGGAAGTTAGTATTCCGTGCGAGTTACATACTATACTTTTTCTACGGTTGTAACAGTGTTGGTTGATAACAGTGAAATTTTTCATTTCTTTGGTATGTAGCCATCTGATTTTCTTTTAAGTAATGCTCATCTATCAGACAGAGCTGTCATTGCTTGAAATTTGACATTTCATGGTAGGAGTTCATAATATAATATAATATAATATAATAACACAATGAAGTCATTGTGATATCAGATACGGAAATAAAATTGATGACATGTGAAGTACCTCATTGATTTATGGAACAAAGTAAAACAAGGCCAATTTTGTTTAATAGCCGTAGAAAAAGGCCTGTTTTTAACTTTAGAACAACTGTGTCAGACTATGTTAATTGAAAAGTGTGCTAATATACTGTGTCTTCCGAATACATCGTTCGGAATAGTGAATACATCGCGTTATTTTGTGTTGTTTCGGTGTTTTGTGAAGATTTTTGAGAAATCATATGTGGACTACAAAAAGATTTCATACTGGTGAGTTTTTTAAATAAATATATTCCTGTACCTACTCCAAGGAAAAAAATAAATCTAGTAATCCATAGTGAGAATCAGTCTTCTCACAAGAGCGATCA